CCCAGCTGCGCGGAGCTCAACCCCAGCATCCGCGGAGCTGCGCGGGGAGCGGGGCTTGGCTTTCCTTCTGGAAGTAGGGGAGGGGAAAAAAAGCGCAAAAAACCGCGCTTTTCATCCATCTCCCCCACCCGGCCGACGAGGCGGGGAGGAGAAAACCCGCGGAGGTTGCGCGGAGAGGGGGGATGCGCGGCCGTAAGCTCCGATGCCAAGTCCGGCCCCGGCGAGGCCGGGAGTATCTGGGCCCTAATGGTTCATTAATAAGGTGTTGAGTGCTTGTCGCTGGGGCGGCTAATTAGGCTGCGGGCTCCGCGGTGCGCGTTTATGGCTTGCGCGGGCCCCGGGTTGCGCGGGTGCGCAGGGCCGGGGCGGCCGGAGAGAGAGGGGCTGCCTCCCGGCTCCCTCGTCCTGCCCCGCGGTGGCAGAGTTAAGCGTGTAAAAAAGCTTTTATTATGGCTTTAATTACATTTTCTTACATGGCGGTAGTAAAGGTTACAGTTAACAGTTGGGGTTTTGTTTTGGTTTTGGTTGGGTTTTTTTTTTATTTTTTTTTTTTTCCCAAATTTATCGGTTTCTCCTTATTTATTCTTTCCTTCCAGGCCCCTCAATGCCTTTGGAAAGCCCTGATTTTTGCAGAGTAAAGCCCCATAACGCTGACCATTGTTCAGTGATTTAACCAGCTCAGTGGCAATAGGTCACTAAAATAGCATCCTTCTCCCACGGGCACGACCCCTCTGCCTGCCAGGGTGGGACCTGCCGAGTTGGTTTTTACCAATCCGGCTCCACAAGTACAAATTTGGGTTGTTTTTTTCTTTCCTCCCCCCCTTTTTTTTTTTTTTTTACTAGGAATAATTGAACTGGAGATCAACCAGGCCCCGGGACTTTAAAAATCCCCAGCTGAAGGATCGCGCCCATTCTCAAAGTTTCAAAATAAACCTCCTTTCTTTCCTTTCTTTTTTCTTTTTTCTTTTTTTTTTTTTTTTTAAATCATTAGCTTTTCAAGCATTTGCGTGTTTAAATTTTCAAATGTTTTCGGAGCCCAGAAAGATTTAAAACACAGCTGTTGCGGGATGGGGATGGGAAAACTCCCTTCAATTAAAAAAAAACCCAAACCAAAACAACAAACCCCTAAAGACTGTCTGTAGTTAGACAGCAAAAATTCAGTTTTTTAGATAATCCTAAATTCTTCCTATGGGGCTGTTTTCTTGTAGCCATGTCACCTTGGCACCCAGGTGCTCTAGTCTGAACTCTAAAATCCCCCTACAAGAGCATCTCTACAGAAAGCCCTTTAAGGAAAACACACTCTAAAGTAGCCACCGTATTCAAAAAAAGGGTCTTAGCAGCATAAGATGGATTTTATAGGGACAAAACAGCCCTTTCTTACAGAAAAGAAACTCGTTGGGCAAATCTGTGGTAGTATTACTGGACAAAAATTAGAATTTAATCACGCACAAGCCAGTTACGGGCGCAGCAACTTTCAAAGGCAAATCAGCAAGGAGCCAAATTCCTATAGGGACCAGGAGGGAAACGATCAAAAAATGAAACATGAAATAAGACTTCCTGTAAGAAGGTCCATAATTCAACATTATTTGACTCCACCGTCGGGGAAATTGTTGAAGGATAGTAAACTGATACTGGAGTCGCAGTCGGTTTTGTTACAGTCTTAAATGTTTGCAACTGCGGCGTTTTAGATGGCCCTTCTTGGGTGATAGTATATCATATATATATATATGTGTATATATATATATATATGTATATCATAAAGCCACGCTTCTATTTAGGTTGCGATAGTTTATTTTTTTTTTTTTCTTAATCGTGCACAATTACAGGGTTTCTCTAAACGACACGCCAACAGACGGCGTCTTTTTTTCTTAAATGGTAGAGGTTTGTTCAAATATATTCTTTACACAGCAAGAATCATCAACTGGGAGGCAACGTATAGCGCGTCAGGAGGTGACTGGCTCAGTCAGGGCATCCACCAGTTACGAGGAGACTAACTTTCTCAAATACTTCAAATTTATTAGCTATACGTTGCAGCCAATATGAAAATAGGGGGGAAAAAATAAAAATACTGAGAAACCCTGTTTTACTTGGGGACTTCTTCGCAGGGTTTAAGTGGGGGGAACTAAGAATATTGCTGCCTTTTGGAATGTGTGTTCCCATATTGGAGGAACGGGCATCAAAATAAGAGATGCAGCACCGAGGGCGCGAGGTAGAATTCATTTCTGCATGATAAAAGAGTTACAGCCAAGCAGGGATTCTGAGGAGGACCAATAAAATAACCTTTAAAAGACTCAACGTTTAATTTTCTTCTACTGACTTTATGCCACCTTGAGCCGGTGAATCCCTTTTTTTGTTTGTTTGTTTGTTTTCAGGTAGTATTTTTTCGTTGTGGTGGTATTTAGGAGCTGTTAACCGTGCCCAAGTTTGGCAGGCTATTTCACGTAGAGATAGAACATGTTAATTTATATTCTGGACTTGTTGTCATCCCGACCTCTGTAGCTGAAATTGTATTACCAAAATAAGGTTTTCTTTGCTCTCCCTTTCTTTAAGCGCGTAAATAAGTTGTTAAGGAGATGCGAGATGTAATACATTTTCTTTAATTTCAAGTTGATTTCAAGTCAAGAATCTTTGCGGGTGGGGGTTTGTTTTCTTTTTTTGTTGTTTTTTTTAAAGCCATTCGAAGAGCCCAAACGGATGGGTCCCTACAGCTGGGTGTAATATTTGCCTCTTTCCTCCATTCGCGTGCTCTAGACCTAACTTCTGGGGAAAGTTTTTTCCAACTGAAGTTACCTTTTGGTGCAAAGGATAGTTTAATTTCCTAATTTTTTATTATTATTATATATATTATTTTTTTTGTGCATCCTTTTCCATAATCAAACCCGATGGAGCTGAGTTGAAACCCTGGAAGTAAAGGTTTGGGAGCGGATCCCCAGGGATTCCCGGCGGCGTCTTTGCCTTGGGGACCCGCAGCTTGGTATTTATTTGGGGGCAACTTGGAGGTTTGCAAGGAAGTCGTGGAAAAACGATGAGTTTTACCTTAAATTTAAGCTTTGTGGCTCCAGGGTCGGAATCTTCCCTGGCTGCCCGTCCACAGGTAGCAATAAAAGGAGAGGGCTCTGCACGCCGAAGGGTTACCGCAGCCCGGAGTGGGCAATGTAAGCACTTAAAAAAA